TACCATTAAAAAAGTATTGACAACATTGTTACTCCTGCTTGTTGCTTTCCCAGTTGTCAGTCACACGAAAATCTGCTTGGTCGTGAATTGCGTGAGTGTTGTGTTATAAATTAAATAAAAAAGGTGAATTATACTACTAAGAAAATAGTGATTATATTAAATGAAATAATTGTTTATTATTCGTTGGCATCTTGAAGAGGGATGCGGAGAGAGTCTCAATTGGCATTTGGCCGCCAATTAGTAATTTCAGCGCCTTTTACCATTAAAATGCATTGGCAACATTGTTATTCCTTCTTGTTGCTTCCTTCAGTTTCAATTACAGGAAAAGGCGGTTGGTCGTGTGTTGTGTTTGTTTCTTGCACATTAATTATATTACCGGTTGTTATTGTTAAAAAGTAAATAAAAGCGGTGAATTATACTAAACAAAACAATGCAAATGAAAAAAAAGATTGTCTTAAAATGTTTTATCGTTTGTTTTTAGTTAAATGCAATGCTTTCATTGTTGGCATGTTGAAGAGAGACACTGAGAGAGCCGTTACAAAGAGATCTCTATTGGTTTTGGTATTTGACCGTGAATGTAGCAATTTTGGCGCGTTTTATCATAAAAATGCATTGACAACATCGTTACTCCTAGTTGTCGCTTCCTTCAGTTGTCAATCACATAAAAAGGCGGTTGGTCTTGAAGTGTGTTTGTTAATCGCAAATTGTATATATTACTGGTTCTTTTAGTTATAAATTAAATAAAAAAGGTGAATTTTACTGAGTTAAAGAATACAAAAGAAATTAGTGATTGTATTAAAGTGTTTAATTGTGTGTAATTCGTAAAATGCATTGATTTTTGATTGGCATGTAGAAGAGACGGCGAGAGAGTCGTTATAATGTGATCTCTATTATTCTTTGAATGATTTGTTGTTGTTGTATGAAAAGTATGTGTGCATTTTTGTTTTGATGAAAAGAAGAATTGACCTTTGCTTAAAATATTCTTGTGTTCGCGAGTTGTAGGTGGCTTCAATTTTTTTAAAAGCGTTTTTGAAATTTTTTTGATGTTTTCTTATTGGAATTTACGAGAGGGTTTTTCAAATTATGTGGCTTAAATATAGGTGAGTAAATTCCACATTTCTATATTAACACACGCATTATGTCTCTGCCTTTACAAAAAGGTTATGTAAGTTCCAATAAAATGAAATAATAAAGTTTTTGAATCGGATCGGTATGAAAATAAAATTGGTCCATAGTATAGGTATAAATTTTCTTTTGGGGGATACCTTCCCAACAGAAAAGAATAGCCGTACTTAATAACTCAAAACAAATTGCTAAGTTTCTACAGTGGGCGTAAGCAGTCAGTCCATATGCATGAAAGAGCCAGGAGTTTTATTATAAACAAATCTCCAATAAACTGCATACATTTAAAAATTATTAAAAAAATTTCTTAAAACTCACAAATGTTCTCGGAGAGTGTAAGAAGACAACGGTAGCTACTACATCCTTAAGACCCACCAAAACACAGTGACTTTTGATATAAAACACCAGACAACCATAGCAAATGTCAAATAAAATTTTGACAGCCAGCCAGCCAGACATCCCGCTATTCTATTCTATTACGCAAAAGAGAATCCACAACCTTTTCAAATATGCATGTGTGTGTGTGTATGTTTGTGTTTACTTCCATCCCCACCCACCCATTATAAAGTGCGGTTAGAAAAATAATTCATAAAGGTACACAAACAAAATATGCGTGGTGGAGAAGTGGGGGTATTGGTGGTGGTGGTTTGAGTTGTGAATAAAAACAACAGACCACACAAAACAAAATATCATAATACACTTGTCATTTTCTTTTGGGAGGCTGTTGCTTCCACCACCACCGCCGCCAATAAGGTGAGATGTTAAATGTGTGTGCGTGTTGCCACCATCAGGATTGTCTTTTGTATGTTTTGAAATGAAAACTTTTCATTAAAAACGACCAAAAAGTAAAAAATACCACAATGAAATATTTTCCAAATGATAAATAGGGAAAGCAATTTTTTGCAATTTTTTCGGTAAAATAAAGGGAATATCGGTTATCGTAGTAAAATCTTTTAAATTCTTGCAATTCTGTAGCAGACCAATTATTAGTAGACATTAAACAGTGTAACATAAATAAAGAGGTAATATGTTTTTTTTTGTTTTTATACCCCACAACGCGGTAATTTTCTAACATCTCGACATATTGGTCTAGTCGCATGATGTCTTATATATGTAGATCTTCCGATCTCGACGAGCTGATCCGATGTAGCTATGTTTGTTGACGTTAATTTGTAATCACGCAATTATGGCCCGATCATTTGATATAGAGTTGTGGTTAGGCATATTGTTTTTGGAGACAATGGAAATATATTTAGAGGGTGAAACGGATCAAAAAAAAAGAAACATTTATGGATTTTGTAGTTTCTGTACAGGTCACAATTATAGACCAATTTCTATGGGGTAAGAGTACAAAAAAAAAAGGGAAGAAGCTTACCAATTTTGATGGTTGTCGGATACTCTTAGAGAATATTTTTTTGTATTTTTTTTTAATTTTTATACATTTTTATATAAGATGCGATTGTTTCAATTTGACATATAATTTTTAATTGTTTTTTAAACCCTATAACACTATGTGTTGAAGGTGTTATATACAGGTCTCAATTATCGCCCGATCCTTACGAAATTTGAGTTGGGTTTAGGGTCATAATAGAAGCCTATTATTTCTGAAGATGTTCGCAAAATATTTAGGGGATTAATTGGATTAAAAACTGAACATTTTTCTGACACTGAACATCAGGACACAATTAAAGACCAATCGACACATGAGATTTAAGTTTAGGACAGGGTAAAAGTCTGGCATTTTGGATAGTCAACGGACAAAAAATAAGTGGGTAAAATTGACCACAATTTTTGTGTGAATACCTTACAGTGCAACAGAGGTAGTAAATATAGGGCAAATACCACCGGTCAAAACCCAAAGGTAACATTTTTGCAGAACTGTATAGCATTATTTAAAATAGTCGACCAAAACCCTTTTCCCTATTTTCGATATTTTGATGATTTTAGCGACATTATTCACCGGAATTGTTTCAAATTTGGTATTTGAAGTTCCTAACAGATACTACAGCCTATGACAGAAAATTGGCTGTGCAGGTCCACGTCTTCGTATAGCCCTCATATAACGGTACCTCCCGATATTCGGTATTTTGATGATTTTAGCGATATTATTCACTGGCAAATTTGGTATTTGAAGTTCGTAACGGATACTACAGCCTAAGACAGGAAATTATCTCTGCAGGCTCACGTATAGTCCCCATGCAATGGTGAGAATTATGGGAGAATTCAATCATACACGCTATGATTATAATTATAATTTAAAGTTCAAAGGACTAAATATGCCGAAGCATTTGTATCTTTTAATTTCAGACTTGTATTGCCCATTTTGTGCACAATTAATTTGAAATCGGATAAAAATATATATGGGAGCTATATCCAAATCGGAACCGGAATCTCCAGAAAATTTCGCAAATATATTTCTGAGCTTTATTTGATATATTTCCCTGAATATCGTTGTTACGGAGTGCATATTACGGCTGTGGGTAACAAATATAACAAATCGGATGAACAGTATATATGGGAGCTATAGCTATATCTGAACCGATCTTCACCAAAGTTGACATACTAGCTTCTAGACTAAATTCGTTCCTAAGTGCCAAATTCCATCCCATTTGGACAAATATTAGACGTTTGGTGCACAATATAAGGTAAATCGGACGAAGTTATATATGGGAGATATATCCAAATCTGAACCGATCTCGATAAAATTTGGCACATGTATTTCTGGGCTGTATTTGATATATTTCCCCAAATGTTGTTGTAACAGAGTGCATATTACGGCTGCGGAGGACAAAAATAACAAATCGAATGAACAATATATATGGGAGCTATAGCTATATCTGAACCGATTTCGATCAAATTTGGCATACTTATTTTCAGGCCTAATTTGGTTGTATGTGCAAAATTTCATACTATTCGGGCCGATATTATACGTTTGGTGCACAATAAAAGGCAAATCGGACGAAGATATATATGGGAGCTATATCTAAATTTTGACCGATTATCTCCAATTTCAATAGGGTTCGTCCTTTGGCTAAATAAATGATTTGTGCAAAATTTCTTCTGGATAGGGCAATAACTGCGAACTGCACCTTGTTTACCAAAATACATGGACAGACGGACGGACGGACGGACAGACAGACGGACGGACATGCATAAATCGACTGAGAATGTGATTCTATGCAGATCATCAAAAGGAACTATGGGTCTATCTCGTTTCCTTTTGCCTGTTACAAACAAATGCACAAAGACATAATACCCTGACCACCTTGTGGTGTAGGGTATAAAAATGGCACCATTTTAGAAGTTTAGTACCATTTTAGAACTTTTCGTAACTTTAGTATTCAAATTTCCAAAAACCCTTTGGTTTATCTATCCCGAACTTCATCAATGACTCTTATTTCAAATTTCAGAATTCTAGCTCATTCCGTTTACCCAATACAAAGTATTCAACTTTTAATACATTTTAGTACTTTTCGTACTATTTTAGTACGAATTTCCAAAAACCCAATTTGGTAGGAAAATAAATATGATATCTTAAAAGTACTGCTTATAAAATATATTTTGGTCGTAAAATCACTTTGCGCCCAAAATGGCAACGCCGTTTGTGTATGCTTGGGTGCGTGTGTGTGTTAAGGTGTGAGAGGGTGGGGATTGGGGTGAGTGCACCTGTTTGGGGAAAAGAGTTTTTCCACTTGACTCTCTACTCTCTCTCTCTTTCTATCGCTCTCCTACTCTCTCTATTGGGGGGATACATGAGATTTTCCTTTGGAAAATCGAGCCATAGAAACTGAGCGCCACAGAGAGTCGCATAAGTGAGAGAGAAAGTGAAAAGTTGTTTTTCACAGCATCCACAGCATTTGAATGATGTTGGCCAAAATAGTTCGCATACAAACGCTAAACGTTCAAATACTACAAAAATTCAAAGCAAACGGGGAGCGCGCGCGTTTTTTAATATTAAAACCAAAAAAAAACCAAAAACAAAAACAAAAAAACAACAACATAATATATATTTTTTTCTACACTTTACATACATATAAATATATATATACCATAGATATATATACATACTTAAATATATATACTAAGAAAGTAAAAAAAATAATAATAACAACAACAGCAGCAACAACAACAACAAAAAGAAAAAAACAAAAGAGCAAAAAAACAAGCTAGCAGTTTAAAAAAAATCTTTTTTCAATTTTTTTTCTTCTTCCGATGCGTTCTGCAACAAAATCTATAACTACAACAAAATAAAAATCTTTTCAAAATTTCAAGTAACAAAACAAAAAAAAAGTTGGAATTATAAAAAAATAAACTTAAATCAAAATTCTTTTAATCTCCACCAAAACGAAAGAAAGAAGGAAGAAAAAATGGCCAAGTTCTCCAATGAAAAGGACCTGAATTTTTCACCGAATTCAGAAAAATAAAAATTCTTAATAAAAATATCTAATCCAAGAGAGGAAAATTATTATCCTACTTCAATTGTGTTTGTGTGTGCATTTTTGAAAGTTTTTTAATTTTTATTTTTCAAACAAAATAAGGAAAAACATTTTCTTTGATGTTAACTTTCGTTCGGTTTGTGTGTGTGTGTTCGATTTTAAGTTTCTCTCAAGTTACGAAAAAAGTAAGAAAAATTACTTCTCGATATATATAAACCATAAATAATGTGTATATATACTTCAAAATCCAAAAAAGAATAACAACAAAAGAGAAAAAATATAAAAATTAAAAAAAATATTTAAAAAAAAAGTTGTGAAGAAAATATCCCGTCAAGCCAACAAAAAAGAGAAAAGAAAAACAAAATTCAAATATTTTCATTTAGTTGTGTTTTGTGTACACTTCAAGCCATTCTCCACACTGCAGCCTCCTCCTCCTCCCTCACCATGGAACATCGAGTGGAAATGTCAAACTGAAGTAAATCAAAAATAATGGAATATTGATTTTTTTTGTTTATGGTTACCTCCTCGTACTCTCTTCGTGCAGTCGTTTCGTATTCCTAAGGCCAAAGGTAAATGAAAACAAATGCATATTTTTTTCTACTTTAGATGGTTTAGTTTCTCCATTCCATCTTCCCCATCTATGGCCGTGTCTGTGCGTATTTCTGTTTTCATCTCATCTCATGACAATTGTCATAGAAATGTATACCAATAAACAAACATACCTTCAGATGTACGACTGTGTGTGTATGGGTGGTGTATGGAGTTCCATGGATGTTGAGTACTTTTATCGTGAAACCAAGAAAGATGAGATAAAACAGAAGGGATGATGAAGCAATTACAGATACAATTGTAATAAAAGTTTTTTTTTGTTTTGTTTTGGAGTTTGAAATTGTTTTCGGAGAAAAAAAAAAAAAAAAAAAAAACAAAATAAAAACACGGAAAGAAAAATGTTGAAAAAATAAATAGAAAATTCTCGACAATTGTATATCTGTGATACGCATTACAGGAAAGGTCCGTCAATATTGATATTAAGAGGAGTTTTTCTTGAAAATATTTTTTTAAATTATTTTTTTTTTGAGTGGAAACTTTTTTTTTCAATTGTTGTGTAAATTATGTACTAGAAATGAAAAGTAGGCACGTTTTATAAGATTTCATCTTACCCGCCGATTTTTAACTGCTTCCACTGGTGTGGATGCATAATAATATTTTGGCAATAAAATGTCAAGGAAAGAAGTTACGAATATCAACATTTGGGCACAATCGAAATTTATGCAAATAGAAAAATATAGTTGTATCGGTATTTAGCCATATTTTTGGAACAATCATAATTTTGTATTGGCATTTTACCTTATCCGTGACGTATTTTTATTACAAATATTCGGTTTTTAAAACTGACGATTTGATAGGGAATTTGAAATTAGTTTTGAAAATTAAAAAGAAAGATATGAAAACTAGTAAAAAAGCTATAAATAAGTAGTAAGGAGTAAGGGAACTTTGTATACCCTCCACCATTTGGAACGAATTAGGAAATTTTCAAAAAAAAAAAAATCGTATGCAGGTCCCAAATAGCCCCCAAATAACGGTACCTCCCGATATTCAGTATTTTGATGATTTCATGATTTCAGCAACATTTTTCACCGGAATCGTTTTAAATTTTGTATTGGAAGATCTTAATGGGTACTACAACTAATGGCACAAAATTTCGTATGCAGGTCCACGTCTTCGTATAGTCCTTATGTAACGGTTTTCATTTAAGTGGTAGTTGTCGATTTTTTTTTTGAAAAAGTTGAAGTTCCCTTCAAATGGTGGAGGGTATTAAAAGTTGGCCCAGCCGAATTTTGCTGCATTTTTATTATTTTTTTTTTGAGTGAAAACATTTTTCTCAAATTTTGTGTAAATTATAAACCAGAACTGAAAAATAGCCACATTTTATAAAATTTCATTATACCCGCCGTTTTTTCAACTGCTTACACTTCGACTCCGACTCTGTTGTGGATGCATGATAATATATTGGTAATAAAATGTCAAGGAAAGAAATTACAAATATTCAAATTTGGGTACAATCAAAATGTTTCCAAATAGATAAATATAGAAGTATTTTTGGAAGAACCATAATTTTTATACCCTCCACCATAGTATGGAGTGCATATTAAGTTTCTCATTCCATTTGTAACACCTCAAAATATACATTTTTTAGGCCCCATAAAGTATATATATTCTTGATCAGCATAAAAGTCCGTCTATCCGTCTGTCCATCTGTGGAAATTACTCTAGCTTTCGAATTTCGGATTTTATTGGTATTGAAAATGGGTCATATAGGTTCACGTTTTGGTATAGCCCCCATATAAAGGTACCTCTCGATATTCGGTATTTTGACGATTTTAGCGACATTATTCACCGGAATTATTTCAAATTTGGTATTTTAAGTTTGTAATGGATACTACAGTCTAAGACAGAAAAATGTCTGTGCAGTTCCACGTTTTGGTATAGCTCCATATAATAGTATTTCCCTATATTCGGTATTTTGATGATTTTAATTATAAAGGTCCACGGAAATTTGAAATTAGTTTGGAAAATAAAAAAAAAAAAAATGATAGCCTCAATTGGGATATATACGGAAATTTAATATTTTTTATAATTAAATTAGTAAAGAAAATCTTAAAGTCGGGCGGGGTCGACTTTATGATACCCTACACCACTTTGCATATTTAGTAGAGCTTCACATAACAATTACAAGTTTTTATGAGAGAACTAAATCATACAAGCTATGATTATAATTAAAATTTAAAGTTCAAGGGACTAGCATTTGTATATTTTAGATCGGATAAAGATATATATGGGAGCTATATCCAAATCTGAACAGATCTCGATAAAATTTGGCAAATGTATTTCTGAGCTGTATTTGATATATTTCCCCAAATATTGTTGTTACAGAGTGCATATTACGGCTGCGGAGGACAAAAATAACAAATCGGATAAACAATATACATGGGAGCTATAGCTATATCTGAACCGTTTTCGATCAAATTTGGCATACTTATTTTCAGGACCAATTTGATCGTATGTGCAAAATTCCATACTATTCGTACTGATATTACACGTTTGGTGCACAAAAAAGGCAAATCGAATGAAGATATATAAATGGGAGATATATTTAAATTTTGAACGATTATCTCCAATTTCAATAGGGTTCGTCCTTGGGCCAAACAAATGATTTGTGCAAAATTTCATCTAGATCGGGCAATAAATTCGAGCTATACTTTGTTTACAAAAATACATGGACAGACAGTCCTGACATGCATAAATCGGCTCAGTATGTGATTCTATGCAGATCATCAAAAGGTACTATGGGTCTATCTCATTTCCTTTTGCCTGTTACAAATAGCCTCACAATATACGTAACACCCTGACCACCTTGTGGTGTAGGGAATAAGAAATGTTGGTTGAACAAAAACTTTTTGAAGGACGTCTCTAACAATAATTGCGTTTTATTCAACCAAAAAAAAAAAAAAAAAACAAGTTAGATCAGTTGGTTTTGCTGACAGATGTATACCCCAGCCTTGAGTTATGATTATTCTAACTATTGACCCTTTATGGGGGAGGTTTCGAAGCAGTTGGCCAATATTGTCCAATTCGTATCTGTCCTAAGTCTGATATAAATATTTTTATAATACTTTTGGTTATCCAAAACTTTGACCCTTTTTTGGGGGAGATACCTGAAGAAATGGTCCGATATCTATTCTATTTGGGCAGATCTGATGCCCAATAAACGGTAAATCGGGCGAAGATAGATATTGGAGCTATAATGTCTCTATTCCGTCTCCATGAGAGCTCATCATAGAAGACCAATAGAAGGCAAACACGTCTTCTCATAGAAGACTAACACGTCTTCTCATAGAATCATGTTTTAATAGATCAATAGGTTTCCAAAAGGTAGTCTCATAGAACGCCAAAAGGTCTTCTTAGAGAAGGAAGAGAAGAAATATATATTCTTATAGAAGAAACAAGTAAAAAAGCTGTAAGTTCGGCCGGGCCGAACTTTTAATACCCTCCACCATTTGGTACAAATTTGGCAATTTCCAAAAAAAATAAAATAAATAAATAAATAAAAAAATAAAATAAAAAAAATCCTTTAAAAATTCTGTTAAAATCTTAAAAATACCGAATGTCTATACGACGACGTATACATGCATAGGCAACTTTTGTCATAAGTTATTACAACATTTAAATGCGAAACATGAAGAAAAATTTGTTTATAATGTAGCTAAAATCATCAAAATACCGAATATAGGGGGTTCCGTTATATGGGGGCTATACCAAGACGTGGACCTGCACAGACAATTTTCTGGCATGGGCTGAAGTATCCATTACGAACTTCAAATGCGAAATTTAAAACAATCCCGGTAAATAATGTCGCTAAAATCATCAAAATACCGAATATCGGGGGGTACGGTATATGGGGCCTATACGAAGACGTGGACCTACATGGTCCATTTTCTGTTTTCTGCTGCAGTATCTATTACGAACTTCAAATACCAAATTTGGAACGGTTCCGTTAAATAATGTCGCTAAAATCATCAAAATACCGAATATCGGGGGTACGGTATATGGGGGCTATACGAAGACGTGGACCTACATGGTCCATTTTCTGTTTTCTGCTGCAGTATCTATTACGAACTTCAAATACCAAATTTGGAACGGTTTCGTTAAATAATGTCGCTAAAATCATCAAAATACCGAATATCGGGGGGTACCGTTATATGGGGGCTATACGAAGACGTGGACCTGCACAGATAATTTTCTGTCTTAGGCTGTAGTATCCATTACGAACTTCAAATGCCAAATTTGAAACAATTCCGGTGAATAATGTCGCTAAAATCATCAAAATACCGAATATCGAGAGGTACCGTTATATGGGGGCTATATGAAAACTTGGACCTACATGACCCATTTACGAACTTAACCTGCCTACTGGAAAAATATACATGTGTGCAAAATTTTAGCCTTCTATCTCAATTCGTTCGAAAGATAGCGTGATTACAACAGACAGACAGACAGACGGACAGACAGACAGACAGACACACAGACAGACAGACGGACATGGCTAAATCGTCTTAGAATTTTACGCTGATCAAGAATATATATACTTTTTTGGGTCTGACGTGAGTATTTCGAGGAGTTACAAACGGAATGACAAAATTAATATACCCTCCATAGTATGGTGGAGGGTATAAAAAAAGGTATTCTCATAGGTCTTCCTATAAAAGACTACATAAGTCTTCTTATAGACGACCAAAACGTCTACTTATGGAAGGTCAAAAGGTCTTCTTAAAGAAAAGTAGAGGGCCTTTTTATAGAAAACAAGAATGTCTTCTTATAGAAGATCAAATAGATCTTCCTATAGAAGACCAAATAGGTTCTCTTATAGAAGTCCAAATAGGTCTTCTTTAGGTATTCTCATAGGAAACCATTATGTCTTCTCATATAGGTCTTGCCATAGAAGGCCAATAGGATTTCTCATAGAAGACCGGTAGGTCTACTTATATTTGACCGGTAGGTCTTCTCATTG